ATAGATAAGTATGAAATAAGTATGGTAACTTTTTTCGTGTCTTGTTTATAAGTTATCTTGTAACTCGTCCAAGTCCCCTGACACTTATCCAAAGTTAGTAAACTTGTAACCTAGGTTGTAGGGTTTGTAACCCTGGTTACAGCATTTGTAACTTGGGTTACAAAACAGGGAACCTGACAGTAGCCGGGGTCCTCAGCCCAGACTGCTGCACACCGTTTGTGTCAGCGCGGCCTATAGATCCTCGTGCTCCATATGTGGCGAATCCACGAGCGTTTTGTTCTGAGGTAATGTTCCCTGGCTGTCTACAGTCATTGCCCGTATTGCAGCAGGCCGGCGTCATGCCCACACGAGCACAGGTACAACCCTGATGATCGTATTATGTGTTCTGACTGGAAGCACCCCTGGCTCTCGACCAAGAATCATAGAAGCCTCTGCAGGCATTGTAACTAATTAGGCATCGGGAACTGGTGCCCTGCTCTTGGAGGACCGGCTGCAGCCGGGATCGATTCACGCTTCTGGGGCGTCCGGATTTTCCTTGAATGGGCACAACTCTGCCTCGCGGCGTTGTGCGTCATGCGCGTCAGCCTGCTGCTCTGGAAGCAAGGGCGTAACATACAAGGGCAGGGAAAGCGTTTTCTGGCTTCAATTGCCATGGTCGTCCCAATAGTGGTGACCGGAATGGCCACCTGGTGGTCCTTCGTTCTGGTCTATGATGCGACTCCAGACAACAGTATGCTTCCCGCGATTCCATTCATCGCGGTGCTTGTTATTGATGCATACCTATATTTTCCGCAGCATGACTCCAAACTGAAGCAGGCTTTCTGTCTTTCCTTCAAGAGCGCAGAGCATCTTCACGTGTGATCACATCTCTCGGCTCTTCCTACTAAGGCCAACCGTGCAGGTGTCCGATTTGGAACGGACTCCAGAGACGCTACCAGCAGTTTCAGAAGCCGGGGAGATCTCTCCATGCTCTCCATGTTGCTGGGCTCCATTGGTCCTTCATGGTCATTCAGATGCAGCCGGGTTTTGAATGACCCTGCCCTGCGCAGCTAACGGTTTGCAGACTCGGACTGAAGCCCTGGAGAGACGTATCAGTGGTTTGAAAGGACAGCATCGATCGCCGTACGATGCGCATTTGCGACCGGCTCTGTCTTGAGGCTTGAGGAGGTACTGTAGTGCATACATAACGCACCAGTCAAGGTTCCTCGAACACTGGCACCATGTTCTCCCCGACATGCTGGGACAATGTCCTTCCCAGTGAACAGAAAGGCCAGGAGTGTCACGGCAGAGAGAGCTTCGCTGCAAGTGCTACTACTACGATTCCCGTATCCGTGGTCGCATAGTCGGCGTTGACTAGGGCGCGCAATGCACATTATGCATGCAGCAGAGATTCGTAAGTCAAAAGAACTTGTGTTAGCGTTGTTCAGGCAAGAAGCACCGGAGCATTGGAAGAAGTTGAAGAGCAGACTCCGTCAGAGCAAATGAACCCTTGCCCCCACCGCAGAATTCGTTGTGGCTCCGCAGCGGCGACCTTCCTGCCAAGATCTTGAACTTGATCTGAACGCGAGTGCTGCGACAGGTGAGGGAGAAGGGCCTCACGTCCGATTCGTCGGACGGAAGGAAACAATGTGGTAAAACATGCGACGAAGATATATCTGCTCATTATCCGCGCCAGGTCAACACTTGAGCAGACGGGAGAAAGGTCCAGGGTCCCACTTCCCGGATGGGACGAACCGCATGAAGAGCCCTGCTCTTGACCCGCTTAAACACAAAACGGATGTCCTGGCTACTGTGCCACATGCTCCGAGCCGAGTGTGGTCTAGACTTGGTTCAGCATTTTCTTGGTGAGGCTGGGGATGGACAGGGCGAGAGTGAGAAACCTTTCTTGTCACTTCCTTATTCCAACCTTGCAGGGGCCGTGGTCAACATCAGCATGAAGAACTGTCGTGATCTGGGCAGCCCGCCAGCACTTGCCTGATTCAAGCGTAGGCGACCGTCAAGAAGATGAGTATTTGACAAAAGCATGCGCAGACATTAGAGTTCAGCGACCGCCAAGACCATCACCTGGATGTGAAGACTCTGAAGAGATACCTTGACACAGACGAAGGCCGGCCCTTTGAAGGTACGGCAGTCAGTTTGGGCATGGGGCGGCTTCGATCAGACCGGAGCCGGGCTGTCTCATACTTTCGGAAAAAGGTCACAGATGCTGAGGCGAAGCGGGTCTTTCGACTTGTAGTATCCAGTACCCCTGCGAGCATGCTTCGATTGAAAACGAAACAGTCCAATCTTTATTTGCTGTTGCTTGCAGTTTTGCCAGGACTCCGCGAACCCGAGCAGGACCATTTCAGCGTGTGAGTGAGAACGAGCATATTCTGACCTGCCTCACTCGGTCCACAGTTTTGAGTCCCCAAGTTGGGGCCTGATCCTAAAAGGGTCGCCTAGAAGACCCAGTAGACGAGTCGACAACCAAAGGATGCGACTCGCCGTTCTATTCGCTTTCTGCAGTGAGAGCCTCACTGCAACTGGTTTGACTTGCCATCGGTTTGGCAAGCAATGTCCATCAGTCACGAGGCATGGAGAGCTCAAATGAAGCAAGAGCAGCTTGCTCTGTGCCAATAGGATTGGTAGCACTATCTCAGAGAATCCTTTGAGCTGCAGAGTTTCTGTTGCCTTGAGCCACTTTCAAGCCTCGGCATTTTCCTTTCTCGAGTTGTCCCGGCAGGCTTCAGGCCAAAGTCAAGGACATCGGAATAAACAGCCGAGGTCTGCGGTCCGGTCCATCCGAATCAATTGCATGCGCTTTCGCTTACATCCTCCTCTCCAGCATTCGCAAGGCGGCGGAGAGTGTGGGTGCTGCAGCACTGCTGCTAGCCGTTTCCCCATTCCGGTTCCTTCTTTTGCTTGGCGGCGGCACGATCCAAGGGGGTGTCGCCGAATAAACTTTTTCGCAAGCCATGAAGGCGCGGGCTTGGCTTTCTGGGCAGGGAATGTTGTGCCGTTCTGTGACACGGCTCTGTCGGTTGTCATGCTGACTTCGTTGCGGATTGGGCACGGGCAAAACTCCGCACCGCTCTCCGCGAGCCTGCGACGTCAGCCGACAGATCTGTGCACTGAGTCATTAAAGAAATTGCAGGCGAGGCTTGCCCACAAAGCCGGTGCCAGTAGAGCGCACTGCTGCTGTGACAGGTGGTTCCGTGCGCTACAAGCAGCAACATCTTGCACATGTATGTAAAGTAGAGGAAACCTACTCGTGATGCGTCTTTCAGAGAGGCTGCAAGGCGTTGCACCACATGGGAGCAGCCAGCTAGTGACAGGGACCTCTAGTGTTTTGCCAGGGGGCTCTCAAGCTGCCGAGAGTTGCTCTCGAGGAAAGAGCGTCTCAGAGCTCACAAGTCAGGCGACTTGTGAGCCGGCTTGGGATCCACCTGAGAGTCTTCAGGGCTTTTCACCCCCCCAAGTGTTTGAAAAAGAAGATGCCGTGGACTAATAGACCTCAAAGGAAAAGAGGAAAAGACTCTGCCATGTGCCTGGAGGTTGAGAGGTCTCGTCCCGCACCTGATTTCACCTCTGATTGCAGTTCGATCGGCAGCTGAGCCACTCAAACGCCGCATGCCGCAGAGCGAAAGCAGTTCCGGGCTACTTGCAATTCGGTTCCAAGCCTGGGCCTCTGGTGTCGAGGAGGGCACTTCCAGGCTGCGATGCTCCGCTGCGGCCGGGCCTGGAGCCTTAGGGGCTCGGGGTTTAAGGGCCTTCAGGGCTTTCACCGGCTCTCTTTTGCCCGAGAACCGGCCACACCGTGTGACGTTTCGATGTCAGCTGGCCAGCTTAGACCGCTCCCGCTCCCGGAAACCCGCCTTCTCGCTAGGCCGGGCGACCCAGCCCTGATGTGGCTGTCACATCACTATCCTCCGCCACGCAGAAGGCCTGCGCAAGCGGATGCTTTCGTCGAAGCTTCGGGGTCAGGGTGTGGGCAACGACAGCTTCAACAGCTTTTGCACTTGATTCCTGGCAGTTGTCGTTGACATTTTGTGCCGAACATGCTTGAATGAAGTTTTTCCCGAAAATTGTCAGGCTCTGCTGGAAGCAGACAGCAAGGACGCAGAACTGGGCAAGGTTCGCGATGCCCCTCAATTATAGCCAGGTAGTTTTAAAGGACAGCAGTGACTTGTCAGTCGTTGCTATTCATGTTTCCTGAAAACGCGCTTCACCTTTTTCACAGACGCTGAATGGCCTGGTGGCGGTGGATGAAGTTGCCCCAGAGCGGCGCATTAACCCTGGTACTTGGCGTTGCTGGCAAGCTTAACTGCGCAGGAACTTCAAGGGATTGGCAGCTGCTAGTTCTGCTGTGAGGCTCGCCATCACAAGAATGCCTCGATCAATCCAGAGTTTTAACTTGGGTTACGTTCTCTGCTGACACTGCAAAATACGCACGCTTCGTGACGACCTGGAGGCTTTCCGAGAGGCAATGCTCAGAGTGTCATGGTTGGTTTGGAGAAGAGGGCGGCATATGATCTTCCAGCTAGTCTGGCCTTTGTGATGTCAGGATCTCTGACCCGCCAGAGACCACAAACCTCTTGAAGCGTGGAACTTACACGGTTCCGCAGTCACTGTACCAAAGTACACAGCCGAGATTCTATGCTTAGTCCTTGCGGTGAGCGAAGGTAGCTCATTTGCCACAAATGGTAGCTTTGCCACTCGAGGATTCCAACTTCGGTCCTGTATGCCCGGCCACTCAGGTTCGGCGTTGCGCTCAACAAGGTTGCTCCACCACCGAAGGAGTGAGAGTTGGTTCACCAGCATAGACTGTCAAACATGGTGTCAGATGTACAGCATGAGCTGAACATGCCAGACGCCAAGGGCAGCCAAATTCAACGACATGGCACATGCAACTTCAACAACAAATATGCATGGAAGAGATATTCACAGCATGACCCGTCTTCTGCAATTTCCGTCGATCGATCCATGTGCCATCATCAGAAAAGGACAGATCAGGTCATAAAAGCTGGTGGAACGCATTTGGCACATGACCGACATGATTATTATATAATGAAAACTACCTCAATACCATTGAGAAGAAAGATTGAGCTTTATCTTCAATGAACTGCGAATATTTTATTCGAATCGGTCTCGGTCTCGGTGTCGTTGTTGTTGTGGTTGGTTATGGTGGTTGTTGTCGCTGCTGCTGCTGCAGACGTAGCTGTAGACGTAGATGCGGATGGTGATGATGAGGATGATGATGATGATGATGATGATGATGATGATGATGCGGAGAGAATGAGATAAACAACACGCAAAAACATAGAAAACGCCAGTCTGAACCAATATTCTCCTGACTTTATATCCAAAAAAGCCGACCTGGCAGCAAGGCTGCTGCCAGGTGCTTTGGTTTTGTGTGGTCGGTGATGACTCATGACCAGCGATGGGCGATTGTGGTTATCTCCGACGCGCTCATCTGAGTGTTCAAGCTCTCGGGCGCATGGCCTTAGTTTAGGCTTTGAACTTAGAGCCCTTTAAAGCCCGATGCTGCTCGCAAATTCAGCAAACGTCTCGCCAGGGCCTTCTGAGGACGCAGAGAGTTCAGAGAAGATAACATTCTGGACTAAGGTCATGCTTGTCTTCACTGTTTACGCTGACGTGGTACCATGCCCTGGCCGTTCTGCTGGTACTGGTGGCCGTGCTCCTGCCGCTTTTGGAAGGGCCGCGGCGTGTAAAACTTGGGTTGACATGGCAGGTGTTGGCAAGTCACCTGCAAAGACGTCGCGACGAGGTGACCTGAACTTTTTGCAGCCTGTCGCCGTTTATTGTTGTGCGTGTCCCTAGGCCGGCGATGGCAGAGCCGATGCCCTCACGGCCATGGAAGAGGGGCAGGCATCAACCGTCTTCTGTGCTTTCGATGTAGCAGCTGAGTGCCCGTGGTTTCCCAGGCTGATGCTGCATTGCAGGAGGACGGCTTGCTACGAAGATTTCTGGTGAGATGCGATGTTTTTGACTTTCCTCAGTCAGAGGTGGAATGCTACCCAGCGTTGCCAACGGCGCAGGCAAACCATAGCTTGCATGATCGCTCATAAGACAGCAGTTTGATGCGTTGTGTGGTAACGCGTGCAACATCAATTGCAGGTGGCTGCAGGGCCGC